TTCTGGATCTGGCGTCATATATCCCGGTGGGGGTTTTTAAGAGAACAGATGAGAGGCTTCCAAGACTTGCTGAGACAAAACCCCCCCTCTCTGTTCATATTTTCTGGATGCAGTTCAATCTCAATTGCCTCCCTAATGATGTGTTCCATATAGCGGGTCTTGGTGGCGAGGATGGAGGTATTCTGAAGCTTCAGAAGGGGGACTTTCGTGTTAGGGTGAGACAGAACTTGACAGCACTAGTTTGGAAGGACAAATGTGACGTTTACATACTGACAAATATGCACTCTCCTCCAGCAGAAGGCAGTCTCTGTGATGAGCACGGAAATGCCACGAAGCCAGCAACTGTTGCTAACTACAACAAGCACATGGGTTATGTCGACAAAGCGGACAGAATGGCAAACAGTTATAGCATCTGTCGTCGAACCTGGAAATGGACAAATAAACTATTTTTCCATCTCCTGGATCTGACGATTCTGAACAGTTACATCCTGTTGTCATCCTGTGGCGCGAAATTGTCACACAGAGAATTTCGTCTCGCCCTTGTGCGGAACATGCTGGAGCATGCTGGAAGGGGTCCACCTCGCCCTCAACGGCCCAGGGGTCGACCCCCTGCCGTTTCATCGGAGATATCTCGATTAGAAGAGGCCAAACCACATCACTGGCCGACTTCCTCTACTTCGCAACTGAGGTGTTGCGTGTGCTCTTCACGTGGGAAACGAACCGTCTGGACAAAGTGCGTGAAGTGTGATGTCGGACTCTGCATTTCCGGATGTTTCCAAGAATTCCACACGAAGCCAACATTCCGTTAGATGCAGCGGGTGGGAAGACAGACAACTTACAAAGCTGGTGTCCAAAAATCATGTAAGTAGAACAAGAATTTATATCTCAAAATTAGATTTTAAAAAACTGTGCACATGCATGCACTGCGTGACCACATATGTGGTCATTCGTCCCCTTGACTTTATTTTTGTTCACATATGTGGTCATTAGTCTTTAAATGGTTAAATCCTTACATGACTCAGTTAGCCTACCTATATTGAGAAATCTTTATTTTACTAAGTTTGAATCTATACTGAAATCTGGTATTATTTTTTGGGGTGGGGGCTTAAGGAATCTGAAACTGTATTTAAAGTACAGAAAAAATGTCTAAGAATGATTAAAGGTGTTAACAATAGAGAATCATGTAGAAATATGTTTGGTGAATTTAAGATTTTAACTGTTAACTCACCATATATATATTTGAGATTTTATGTTGTATGTATGTATGTACCTTATAACAGTTGTTATATTATCGTGATTGATCACCGTGTAATTTTTATGTGACTTTAACATGTGATGTATTTGCTGTTAGTTCTTTACATGTCCAATTGTATTCACTTCACTTATGCACAAAAATAAAGTTGAAAATGTTGTCACAGACTTAGTCACTTTGACGCCTTCATTGCAAATTGACTCTATGTAATTAAACCTGAACTTGCTCACAAATTTCAGTAATGGTCTCCAATACTATATTTAATCTAGACCTTTCCAAGTAGCAAAGCTGTGGAAATAAAATTCCTTTGAAATGGACTAGAAAAATTAAAGAAGTTCAGACAGATGACACTAACCCCAAAATAATAAGAACTTGAAGTTGACTGGTAACAGCAAAAAACCATCACTACAACTTTTTGCACTTGCCGTTTGTGTCAAGTTAAAACTTACATTTAAGAACAAGAAATGCATTCGCTCTGACTGATATGATGTGCTCACTCATCATCCCACTCCTTTTGGAACCATAATGTTTTGGAAACAGGTTCTCTTTCTTCTTCAAGTGACAAGACGATGTAAGATATCTTACTCTACTGGACTCCTGAGAAAAGATTCTGACAGGCTGAAATGGTTGCCAGGTAACATTTTTGCTCATCTTTAACAGAGGGTCCTATAATATTTTCTTAAAAACTAGAACTTTTTACTCACCTTTATTATACAGCTGCCACACAGCAGGGGGGAAGTCAATCTTCCCATGCCTGGTGCAGTTAGGGGAGGGCACGAAACCATTAACATTCTTTCCCCAAACGGAACAGCAGCTGATATCTCATCAGGTCTGTCAATACACAGTACAAACTTAAAATTTTAATCCAAATACTAATAATGCCAATAACATAACAAATTAGTTAAAATTAAAATGTAAGAGGTCATCAATATGGGTCAGAAAATTTAAGTTAACAATGACTTTTAAGGTTTGGTCAACAACTGAAATGGCACACATCTCTAATATTGGGTGGAGTAAGAGTTTTGTATATTTTGTTCATTCCGTTTTTCGACAGAATACTGAAGGCAAAAACTCTCAAATGAATGGCAACAAGAATTTCCTGAATTTATTCTACTTTTAACCCACTTTTTAATCCGAGAACTCGCATAAAAAAATCCACATTATCATGCATGCCTTTACGGTTTGGTAACTTGCCTGTAAATTTCATATATAATCAAGGTAATCACACACACATATATATATATATATACATACATAGTTACCTCCATTAACATATTATACACGCACATCAGCAAAGTGACTCCCATTTTGAGTATTTAAGGCAAGCGAAAACATATTCCAAAAACCTTACGACCACACGCATACAGCCTACTCACCACCGTCCATTTTGAGAATTTTGAGGCTTGTTATTGGCCAATTATGTCCGTTCATGTCAGCGAACTACAAAGGGTACAGATCCGACAAACCAAAGAGTAATAGTGATGTCAATTAAAACCAAAGAAAAAATCGGTACGAGGGTCTAGAAGGTCTATAAACTATGACAGAAATGCGAAAGGAAGTGTTAGGTTTCGTACCTCAGTTTCTATTTCAATAAATTAAGAAAAATATTTAAGTAAATCGGTCAGTTTTGTTATAGTTTAACCCATAAAAAGGGCTCGTCCTGAGTGGTCCTCAGCGGTCCTGGGCGTCTTGGGTGTTTTGGGTGACCTGAGCGTTCGAGTGGTGTTACTGAAGTTACTGAATAACGGGTATTAATATGGCGACAGGAACGTGCAATGAAAGTGCAGGTGACATTTCCCACCTTAAAAAACAACTTGCTGTTGCAAGAAATGAAATTCACAACCTAAGGTGCGAAAAGTGTCATAGATAGTACTAGTCTGTGTATGCGGTTTGCATGGTTATTGTAAATGAGTTAATTAGGTTAGAATTTTTGTTGGCATTTAGCTCTTCTCTTAATACAATTATTGTTTTCTTTTGAGACTGCTTTAGCACATGATGGCATATGGCTTTTTGTGTAGTAAAATATTGATTTTTACGAAGAGGTGAGGTTATAGTTCTATATATTGTATTGTATTGTATTGTATTTATATTTGTTCAAGAAATCCAAAAAAGGATATAGAACATGTCACAGAACTAAATATAAAACAGGATACATGCATAAATTACACGACTAGATAGTACAATGAATCAAACAATAACAAGTTTCAAAGATCCAAAAAATGGATATAAAACATGTCATAAATAATACAAAACATAAAATACACAGTTATGCTTATCTGGATCCTACAATATTCAACAATAATAAGTTACAAAGATCCAAGAATGGATATAAAACATATCATAAATAATATAAAACATAAAATACATGCATAGTTATGCTCGTCTAGATGATACAAGAATACAATAAATACTAAAATTTATCTGTTTAAATATTCTTCTATAGTATAAAATGTATGTGTATTCAAAAAATATCTTAATTCAACCTTAAACTTTTTAAAATTATGAGATGAGTTCTTGATCTCTATGGGCAGTTTATTAAACATTTTTATACCCGCGTAGTAAACTCCTTTTTGAAAACTAGTTAAGTTAGCTTGAGGTAGATAAAGATCTTGTCTATGTCTTGTCTTGTCTATTGTTTTGTACGTCGTTCACACTATTTCTATACTCGATTTCACAGTATGCTTCTCTGATTTGGTGTGTTTCTGTACGGTCAGGTCCTGTTAAGTTGGCGTACTGGGAGCCAATTAATTTTTTATCACACTTTATGTATGAGAGACAACAGCTCTATTGTAGCGAAAATTAAATCCCAATATTCATAAACTTAATTTGTTTGTAATTATCATTTCATGCATGCTGTTGTGTTAATTTGTTTGGTCTGTAAGGATATGGTTTTTGTGGTGGTCGAGCACCACGTATGGATTTGAACATGGAAATATCCAAAAAATCTTGCCAGTATATCCTGAATCATTTCTCTATTTCTGGCCCTTATGCCCAATTTTTTTTTGTACATAGACAACAGATCAAGGCTCTTGGCCATAATCATCAGAAGGAGGTGGAACGAATACAAAATATGCTAGATTCCTGGCAATGCCGAAGCTGTACCTCTTCTACAGTGCCCACAAGAATACCTGAAGATGGAGTTTCTCTGAGGCCAATTGGGGTGATATCTACATGGTTTCCAGAGAAGAAGGGAGTTCCACGTCAACCAGGCATCTGTGTAAATAGCCAGGGCAAACTAGCCCTCTTCAACTCAGTGTTCACAAATCCAGAACATGCTCTGGAAGGATTGGAAGGCTTCTCACACATGTGGTGAGTGCACGCATTTGACATGAATTGATGTAAAACTCTGGGAAGAAATCTAAGACTACAGTTCATCTTCTTACAGGATTCTGTACCACTTCCACAAGAATGATTCTAGTCATGTGCGTGCTAAGGTGTCACCTCCCCGCCTGAATGGTGCCCGCACTGGAGTCTTTGGTACTCGCTCCCCTCACAGACCATCACCCATTGGCTTGTCCCTAGTGGCTATTAACAGAGTTGAAGGTACATACAAAATATGACAGCTGGTAGGGGCTGGGACACATATCATGCAAATATAAGCTCAGTAATTGAAAAGTTATTTCTGAGTAAACCTCTGATTATGTGTTGCAGGATCTTCAGTTTACTTCTGTGGTGTAGATATGGTTGATGGCACCCCAGTGCTTGATATTAAGCCATATATTCCACAGTATGACAACCCACTCCATTGTAGATCCTCAAATTTGAGACTTCTGGATGGGAGGGAGGCTGAAGAACCAATGGGGACCTCACCTGGTGATGCAGTAACATGCACAGCTCAGCCTGCACGACCTGAAAGTCGAATTGGAGAGAGAGAGGCTCCAGATGGAGAAGAGGGTGCCCAACCATCTGTGGTACCTCCAGTGGGAACGCAGAGTGAGAGAACACAGGTTCGTATCCCTTCCTGGATCACACAGCCACCTGTCTGCAAGCTGAATGTCACATTTAACGATCGAGCAAAGGCTCAGCTGGAGAATATAGAGAGAGAGACTCAAAATGGGGAGAATCTAGAAGCTTCTATCCGGAGCATACTGCAAGAAGACCCACGCTCAGTGTACATGCGTGAGCGGTGGGGCAACCAGTTTTATACATTCCTTATATGTAACTTGCATGTGAGCTGTAAGTTTGACGACTCTGCACATACTGTCGCAGTGTTCCAGGTTAAGTCTGCAGGGAAGCTGTGTGAGTGTGGCCAGCCTGAATGGCAGTGCAGTGCACATGGCGAATCTTAATTAATGTAGTTGTTTGCTTGCCTGATTTTCTGATAAGATCTCTTTTATAAGCTATAGGTGAAATCTGCTTGTCTGTATATGTCGAATCCTGTAAAAATAAACATTATATATTCTAAGATAGTAGTGAGCATTTTTATTAGCCTACTTTCATTTTTTAAAGAAATAAGTAGGTTTATGACATCATGCTGTGTGGGTGCCCCACTTTGAACTTCAGAAGCAAGACAGTTTGACACAAAATTTAGTACAAATGTTATTACAGTGGAGGCTGCCCAAACCCCATACTTTTTAGCTTCCAAAATTGATAACAACATGGCAGATGCACCAACTTGACATGGCTGTGACATACTAAATATGGTCCCATAATGAAATATGATACAGCACAGTCATTTGTGTAAAATGAGACTGTCTCTGCCTGCATTCTCAGTCTCTCCAGGCAAATGCTCCAGTAGCACCTCAAATTAGGATACAGCTACTTCCTTCCACATCCTTTTTTACTACTCACTAATCCTACAAAGTCTAAGCTTTGACAGCATCACTAAATAATCTACAAGTAAATGACAAGTTTCTAATCACAGATGTCTACAGAAAACAGAGAAATAAACCCCATTCTTTTAGTTCNTTTTTACTACTCACTAATCCTACAAATCTAAGCTTTGACAGCATCACTAAATAATCTACAAGTAAATGACAAGTTTCTAATCACAGATGTCTACAGAAAACAGAGAAATAAATTCCATTCTTTTAATTCTAGGAGCCTCAGAAACCTGAAATTTCAGTCTTTCATTTGAAGTACAGTATGTACTGTCACATGCAGCTGTGTATGAAACTACAGATATATGAATCAGGATATTTATTGTAACAAGTTCAGCATATTTTGAGATCTAAGCTTTCCACATCAAAATAACATTTATAATAAAGCAATGATTATATTAGATTTGAGAAATACTTGTTACGATTCAGTTCAGAATCTTCAGTCCTCTTTCTAAAAATCGGTGATTAATGTATAAAACTATTTACCTGCTGCTTTATACAGACAGATGTGAATCTTGGTATCACATTCTAAGGGAAAGAGATCGTGTTTGAGAACAAGATGCTTAGGAGTTTGGATCAAAGAGAGAGAAAGTGATGGGAAGACAGAGAAAACCGCATAATGAGGAGCTTCATAATTTATGCTTTTCACAAAATGTTGACAGGATCAAACCTAGGAGGATGAGATAGGCAGAACGAAGACATGTATGTCTAATTATGCAACACTGCTTGTAAATAAGTGTAACATGGGAATAAAAATACATAACTTACCATTCAAATTAAAAAAAATAGAAAATTTTAAGGTTTTTAAAAATAAATAAATATTTATTATAAAACTGCTTTTATTCTCTACAAGAGTTATTTTAGTAATAACGAGAGATGGTAGTTTCGTAATTCAAGTCAATTTCGATATGATACGAAGTATTTAAATGGTCTTTGGACTGTTATTTTTGCTAAATGTGTGATGCTTTTGTTTTACATGGTTGACTTGTGTTTTCGGTGATTTAAGTATATTTATTGCTTTATATGGAATTGCTAGTTTTCATCCATGGTTGGTAAGCTATAGCAAGAGGATATTGGTCAAAAAGGGATTTTACTGTACATTGTCTTGTACATTTTTTAAGAGTTGTCAACATGTACTGTTCAGTTGTTTTCAACTGAACTGTGCCTGTGTAACAGTTATGGATGTTAAATAAATTATCAATTAACTTGATTGGACAATTTCATGAGTGACATAATAGCAGATGGAAGAATAATTGGATCTTGCAGAAATATGTCATGAAGATGTGACATGGATTAGCTGGCTCTGGATGGGGTCCAGTGATGGGTTTTCATGATCATGGTGGATTCCACAAAAACAGAGAGAACCTCCTGAACAGTTGACCTATCAAGTGTTCAAGAATGTATGAATTCCGAAGTTGATACCTGATGAGCAGCTTATTGAAGTTATTCTGGTCCATACTATACTGCTTTCAGGTAGGAGTGGAAAGGATTACAGAATGTCGGAAGAGGGAAGTAATTCATAATAACTAACTAAAGAACTTGAATACATTTTGGAGAAATAACAAGGGATGAAACAGTTGCATTAACAATAATTTATACATACATGATATGAATGACATCCACGTGAGAGTGTGAAGAGACGTACTGTATGTAGTGATACAGTCTAGTACACAAAGCAAAAATCTTCATCTCCATGACATATAAAAAAATTAACCAACCATAAATGTCATAAAATATGATTCCAACGATCACTAAATTATTTGTCACTATCAACCACTGCAAGCAGATCTCTTGTGAACCGACACAGGCAGTGTAATGTAGTCAAATGGAAAGAGCTCCACTCTCGATACACAGGAGAGAAGAAGCCTACTGTAAGATGACTCAGCTTTGGAATGCAAGAAATAACCAACCGGGGAAGGGCAATATAAATGCACCAACAAGAATTATGGAGCACTGTCACAACAAGCGATCTTGTTGGTGCAGTCACATTGGTGTGAGTGGAGGTTCAAGCAGTCAAGGCCTCTATAACACCAAGAAGACGTTTGCCTGTCTCTCTCACAGATAGCTTCTACACTTTTCACGAGATATAAACTCTTGTAAATACTAACTGCTCAACTAATGAGTTATTTAAAATTTCAACTTGTAACATTCGTAGAATAACTAATTTATTAAATTTGTTTTGCACTTTACAACACTGTCTTCTGGAATACTCTCAACAGTGCTAGTGTGGGATTTGTTATACTGAACCCTATACTATGGCATGAAGCTCCTTGTGGGGCCCATCCAATAAAACAGTGGTCCCAATCACACCGACTCTGTATTCCTGAGTTGGGTGGGCGTACTGACTAGAAGCGGGCTCATTCTCTTCGGACTCCACTCGTTCAAAAAGCACTAGAGACAGATTTAAAGCATGACAATGCACATGCTATGACTGGATGGTGAGTGTCACATTGCCTTGAGCACGTTTCAGCACTGCCACTGCCTCCTGGTGAGTCAGACCTTCCAAACTGATGCTGTTTACTGCCACGATCTGATCCCCTCGATGAAGCTGTCCACCATGGGCTGCTGCTCCTTTCTCAAATACGGTTTTAACATAGATTGGCAGATCACCATGTGGGCTGCAGTGACCACCCACAATACTGAATCCCAGTCCATCTGGCCCACGTTCGAGTATCACAGTGCGTGTCTGAGGCTGTGGTGTCACATTACTGCTCCTGCAAAAGAGAACAAGCACTCACACTTCACATAAGACAAGAGAAAAGCATGAACACTGACACAGCAGTAAGACTACCCCCTGCATTTCAAATTAAAACTGAAAATATAATTTGATTTTATCAGAAGAAACTCGACCGATGACACACTGCATGCTATTCATTATATGTAGCATTCTAAAAGAGATTTGAAGTTGTCACAGTGGTAAGTATTCTGGGATAATGCTGTGTGCTTTAGTAGAAACCAGTGCTTCAGAGGAACCTGCTGGCTCTGTTTTGAGAGTGGAACTGTGCAGTGTCATTCAAGAAGATTTACATGTGTCTTAACAGTTCCTTTATGTATCATAACACTGGTGTCCTAGCTCATCCAAATACAGATTTACCTCGAAACTGAAGGGAATTAGTTAAGTTCTGAAACACATGAATTCTGGCCAATATGACAAGTCATCCTTTGCTGTTCAGCTTTTGGAAATCTAAATTACATTTTTTTAAAGCATCAGTGGGTTTAGTTTTATAGCAATGCACTTAACATGAATTCATCTCTGGCTTGAGTGTTTAACCTAAGGTTATTCATGGGTTTCCTTAGTTCTTACACATAAATAAAGCAAACCAAGTCCCCAAATCACTGTTGTCCATACACAACATTCACAACATAAACAAGTGACACACTACTTTAAATTCTCTACAACTTGATTATGTAACATTCCTGATTAACCGCAAATGAACACATAAGAACTACCCCTGAAATGTAAGTTAATTTGAGCAGACTACAGAGTTACATCCCGGAGGAGAAAACTGCAAAATTTCTCCTAATAACATATTCACATAAAAATGCTGTGGATGAGTCCTCAACTTCTTATTAAGTCTTTCAGGACCACTGCCAAATATACTCATGTCTATTGTTTCCAGTTTGTACTATTTTATCTTCACACTAATAACACTCCTATTGTATGTCTTTTGAATGCCTGAACTTCTGTGCTTGTTCAGATAATGTAAGCAGTTGAAGAGAGTGCAGAATTGAGATTCAAACAAGAAAAATACCATACTACCTTGAATAAGAGATGCCCTTGAATTTAAGAAGCATCCAGTTTTTGAATGTGGGTTTTAGTAAAAAAATTAGAAATGTGCACACTCCTCGAATATAAGAATCACCTTAAATTTCAATGAGGAAAAATGTGTAAAATGCATATCTTACATTCAAAGTAATAAGGCAATAAATTCAAAATATTAATGGAAATGTTAGGGCAGGGGGATAAAAGAGTTGGTCCGGGGGGTATGTCAGTGCTTAAAAAATATGGGGGTGAAAGGGATTAACCCTTCGTGGTTCAATTTAATTTTAATGTTACACTCAGTCTGACAAATGATCAGAACTGCCCATCATCAGCTGGAGTTTCAGTGGCACAGCCAGTGTCTGTGCGACCAGACTGCATACACAACCATACATGCTGTCAGAGTAATGACTCGCATACTGCTAACAGCAAGGAATGGAGTTCATGCAGTCTTGAAACTACTGTGCAGTGAACAGGGTATGTCATGCAGAGAGATCACTGGTAAGTGCAGATGATGCAGAGCAACACTGGCAGAAGCTGGCCTGCAGGCCTGACTTGGCACATCAGAATTTTCAAACCAGAGTGAGGTACCACCATAAGATAACAACAGAACATATTCAAATGTGTCTTTTCTGTGTACACCTACACTATAAATATAATCTGTCATACAGATTAATGTTACGGAAAAGAATACTTATGAATTATATTTTGTTGAGTTCAAATCTCTTGAACTGATATTACTTATATACCCCTAACTGTCTCTGTACACAAACTGAAGACATGAATTGAACATTTGTAGTTTTGCACTGATAAAGACGTGTGGTCTGTAACAGTTCAGCTGATAGTAATTGCTCGCTTCTGGTATAGGGCTGGTTTTTGTGGCAGAATGTCATTTTTAAGCATTCGTACATTTCATTTCCCTGTACCCACACCTGCCATCATAAACAGGACAAGCAAAATTTACTCTCGCATGGAATTGTGTCAACTTATAACAGATCTGCTGCAGATTATAGAATTTATTCCCTGTAATTGTCAGGGATATAATTCCAATGCATATGGTCAAAATATAATTTGTGGGCATTTACCCCCTTTTGTACTTCTTATTGGTACAGGATTTTCTAGCTGTAGAAGCAGGATCAGACTGGGTTCCTAGGTACTACATACAGACTAATGTACCAGCTCCTGATGAAAAGTATTATGCAACTGACTGCTCACAGATAAACCTGCTTGCCTGTCTGAGCTTAGCTTTATAAAAGTCTTATGTTAAATCAATGTTGGTTGGTTGGTTTCCAATGGCTGCATTTGGGATCACTTAACCCATTTTGCTTCTTGCTTCCCAATAGAGAGCACTTAAGTTCTTGCTTTGTTGCATCTTGGAAGTATGCACTTTTCTTTTGGGAAGCTTTGCCAGGTTTGTTGCTTATTTTGCACTACACAGGGGTCACGTATGACTTAAAGAACGTCATGGACGTGAGCAACTGAATTTTATACACTTCAAGGCAGATCTGACTTGAAACACTAGTTGGGCATAATAACCCTTACAAAATTAAGCTCATATACAGTTATATGTCTATACCCACCTGAAGTTCTAGTAGTGATTACATCCAAACAAATTAAGCTCGTGGGATGGCATACAGCATTCAATTAAGAGCATAGAGATAGGATGCAGCATTTTATGTATATGTGTGTAGACACACACACACACACAGTATATGAATTTCTTTCATTTGCCATATTCCATGGTAATTTTCAAATACAGAAAAGGTTTCAGAGTTGCCTCACAGTTACCCATGAAAGCTGAAGATCCATAGTATATTTCCCTTAACCAGCTGACTGTCACTTCCTTAATCAATTTGGTATATTCTCAACAAGGTCCCTTAAATACCAGTTCATAAGTTTCTAAGTTAGTGACTTAACACAATGTCATCACTGATCACTGATATAAGAATATCAAATTTCATATCTTTATGAATGACTTATTGGAGTCAGACTATCTGTATTCTTTGAAGACAAAAGGGCTAGACAGTCAAATGAATCCAGAAGCAGTGATTTAGATATAACAGTAAATGAATTCACAAACTTTACACCAAAAATGAGTACTGTCTTCTGCAGTGTAAAGTTATAAATCTATTTTATCCGATTTCAATAAATGTACATCATACTGTTGAAAATTATGGTCTTTGCGTTATAATGCCATGTATTTTGGAGAAACCAAGCTATTGCAGAGCAATATATCACCTCCATGTCCAGGCTCAAAGAGTACACCAAGCAACATAGCGGCGGAATCAGATGAGTGCAGGTTTGAGCTGTTACAGAAATATTTCAAGCAATAAGAAGCACCAACATAAACACTGTCCATGCATCTTCATGTTACTGCATAGTTTCAAGCTCTGCTGGATTCTTGCTTGGCCAATTTTTCAACCCTCAAGACAGAGTTGATATGCTGTTACAGACTCTCTCTGAACTACATGGCATTACAACACAGAAGACAATATTTTTCATAGTCACTGCCATGAGAACCTAAATTCCAAAATAATGAAAAAATGTTTCAAACAGAAGCTTATTCATAGTGAGATTATACAGCTCACATTATGTATCAATGTTATGTATGATGAGTCAATTCTGAGAAGAATGATGCATGTACGTAGTTCATACAGACCTAATCAGTATAAACGAAAAAACACATACAATATATATTAAAAACATAAATCCATCAACTGTAACTAATTTAATAATTAAATTCATAAAACAAGCAAGTAAATAAATTAAAGAGTCATTTATAAAAAAGTACATCTGAAAGTCTGGTAACCACTTACCAGACTGCATGGTGTCACATCCCAAAAAAACTGCAGTCTTAATTTCCACCACTGTCTTGCAGATCCTTAGATCTTGCCTGACAACACCCACACACATGAAGTTCCACCAAAACATGTTATATAATTTGGAGGTACATTCCCTTTATGCACTTCATGCAAATAATGCACACAGATGGTGATGATTCTTGGATTTAATGCCTCAGGAGGTGCAAACACAGGATGGTGATTTGTAAACTGTGGTAGATGGTTCAAATCCAAGCATGGATGGAAAATTTTTCTTTCGGTTACAGTGCTGGCAAGGAACCAAAAACTTTAAAACACAAACCAAGATCCAGAACAACACATTTCAATGAAAACACATGCATAAGAACAAGAACACCACAACCAACAACATCAGGCCTACTCACCCTCAATCTGCTTATTTCCTGATGAAGGAAAGCATGGAAAAATAAGGCACTTTATTAATTTAGACTGTTATGGAATGTCTTAAGCAATAAGAAACATTAAGTTGAACACTGTCCACTGTCCATGCACTTGTCAGGCGACTGCACGATGGGTTCCACTTTACACGTGTCTCCTGCGAAGAGACCACTTTGCTATCTGGCGCATCAGAGAGGCCCTCTTGGGTGAGAACCGAGGAAACGTTTGATCATCAGAACTTGGAATGTTGTCTGGATCTCCATTTGTCATATTAGTCACCCTATAAAAAGTAGTTCACAGGCTACAGTCACCTGTTTCACTGCCTCTCTGTCTGCTGAGCATGAGGAACAAACATGAACCTCATTTATGGATTTATATTATCTCTTTTATATAATGAAAATACACTGGATGCTAAGAATAAGGAGAATCCTCCACATTTCCAGTGCGCTAAAATAATGACTCTGGCATAGAGGGAAGCAGTAACAGCGCAAGAAATCACAACATACAATAACCTCATCTCTCGGTAAGATTCAGGCAGCTAATGCGGCCGGACAGATTTCCATGTGTCCAGAACCCATTTCAAGCATCTACAGGCAAAATGGGCAGCAAAGAATTTAATAAATTTCAATTCTGTGCAGGCATGAAGCATGGCAACTCTGACAATAAGCGTGACTATTATTCTAGTCACTGTCCATTGTCTTCAGTTTTCTCAAGCACGGCATTTCAGAACTGGATCTATTTCTGTCATCTGGTGTAAGAGAGAAAAGGTTCCTACTTGACTGGGCACATTAGAAAGAGCTGGTCTCAGTTGCTGAAGGGTCCAATCTAGTCATGCCTACTGTAACATTCCAGCATCGGAAACATTTAGACCCTGCTTAAAGTAATTACGAATAGTCTGCTGTTGCCCTGCTTATAACAGACACAAATACATTTCTAGAATGCACGCAGGCAAACCTATGAACATTCAAGTACTGACACATGCTTCAGCACCAGAGTCTGTGTAATCAATGTGAGTACACATGGCTGCGAGTCCCAAACAAAGGAGCTTAAAAACATTTTGTGGCAAATTTGACTTTAAATACACTTATAATTCATTCTTAAATGCACAAACAGAACACTGTAAGTTGATGGAGACAACAAATTCCAAACAGTAAGCAAAAAACCATGAAAGTTTGCCATATGTTTTCACAGATTCCTGCCTGTCATGACCTGTCCAATGATGTCCCACAGCATTTTGGGTAAACACAATACATACATTTTGGAAACGATACACCATCTGGTCTCAGAGAGTCAAAATGATAATTTGAATTAACCAACAAAAACTATGATAGTAAAACTCACAGGTTCAACGTTGTCAATATAAGAGTTCACCATCAGATATAGTACAGAACTACTTCCAAATACCTCTCATCCTCACAACCTACATGGAGACCCATCTTAGTATTACCTTCCCACCTTCTTTAGAATCTTCCAAGTGGACATTTTCAAAGAGATTTTCCATCAGACTTCTATATATACTCTTGGTATCCCTCATCCTATCTGCATTTCTTGAAACCTTCCTACATTTCACTGTTCTAACATGTACCCACTCACAATAATAACGTACAGTGTCACAAGAAGAAGACTAAAATCTCAACACTCTGCCTTGAAAACTTACACAGTAGAACACGTAATGAACAAACATTTCTTTTGCAATTTTCAGTCCAACAAGAAGCATTACAGTTGGCACTCCCACCAGACAGACTGTAATTAATATAAGGAAACATTAAGTGGAACCATTGGGAGAGGAAATGGATGCATCGTCACTTGAGATGAAGTACATAAATCAAAATGCTCCTGTATCCCTTCAAAGCCTTAAAGTAATACAATATTTAAACAATTTTGATCCCACCTCACATAATACACACTGCACCTCCATCACAAAGACCAATATGATAGTACTGTTTAGGGGAGTCATAACTGGTTATCCTGAAAATCATACTAAACAAATAAATACCATTCTGCGTGCAAAATGCTGAGTTTTTATGCTAAAACAAGTGATACATGTAGTTAGTTAGTTATTTAGAGAGGGTGGGTTTCCCCATGCACCGCGACCAGTTTGATCTATTGTGCTTCCCTCTATGATATTCTACCAGTCTCTTTACCCTACCGATAAATGGTGCGTACCATCAGTCCCGCCGAGCAAGCGAGTTCGGCCACTTGCTTAGCGGTGTCTATAATGCTTCCCCCCTCTATCGGAGGCCTTAGAGACTATTGTTGGGCGGGAAACGTCCTGGAATTTGGCTCAGTGATCCCCTTTGGGGATATGAGGTTCTTTTACGTGCCGTAAAGTTACGACAAGGGACACACAGCTTAAAGTCCCTCCCGGAGGACTTGTTCCCTGAATTTTTCCGCCCTTAAAAATTCGACAACCTCCGCCAGGTATTTGAACCCGCGTACCACGAGTCATGAGGTGGGAACGTTACCTCTAGACTATGGAGGCCGCTTGGTACATGTAGTTACTACTTACTTTAAAGGATTAAGATTCAGGTATGTTCTACATTGTTACTATTAAAATGAGAAAACATGAGGGCTATTTGGAAAATAACCTCCATTTATTTTAGGCAGCTAATGTAGGAGTGGGGGAGATGTGAGTTATCATCACATGGCTCACTGCCTTGTAAATCATCACATAACTGGTCACCTAGTGTTTGTTCTTGTCCCTAAAGAGTGAGTTATGATGTGTCCTGCGGAAATCCATCATGAATTATGTGCAGCAGTTTACAGCCAAAATGTAACGAGTCAAGGAGATACAAGACAATCATACAGATTGTTCAAAGATGGGTGAACAAACGTTCACGACAAAGAATGAAGTGGTTGGCTGGCCATCTTGTTCGAAGCGTTGACCAAAAAATTAGTGATGGATGGCGCTTCACAATTTCAGAACTTTTGTGTCAAATTCCACAAATTTCACACACTGTTCTCTACAAGATTATCACACTCAGGCTATGCCATCATAAGATTCATGCAAGATGGGTTCTGCAAATGTTCATGGGTGGGCACAAATTGGCTTTGCCGTTTTTAGGGCAGTACTATAAAGATGGCGATGAATTTCTCAGTTACATCGTAACAGATAATGTAATTTGGGCTTCATTTGTGAATGTTGACACAAAAGATCAGTCAAAGCAGTGGATGTACACACATTCACCAAGCAAGCCGAAAAAAGTTTAAACAAACGTCTGCCTGTCAGAAAGCTGATGGCAACCATTTTCTGGGACAGCAATGGAGTGCTGATGATGGAATTCATGCAACAAAAGACCACAATTATGTCAGAAGTGTATTGCAGAACACTAAAAAAATTGCTTAGGGCCATTCAGAACAAAAGCATGGAATGCTGACATCTGTTGTAGTGCTCCTCCATGACAAAGGGCGTCCAAATACAGGTGCTCACACTAAAGCACTGCTGGAGCATTTAATTAGTAATTATCTGATAATCCTCCTTACAGCCCTGATCTCATGCTGGGTGACTACCACCTGTTTACCTACCTGAAGAACTGGTTGAGATCACAGTGCTTCAACAATAATGAAAAGATTATGGAAGGCGTTAAAACATGGCTCAGCTCACAGGTAGTAGACTTCTCTCACACAGGCATACAAAAACATATTTCCCGATAAATGCCTCAATTCCAGCCATGACTATGTTGAGAAGTAGCTTAAGTACATATTTTTTGTATATAATAAAATGCATTTTTCTCATTGCTTGTTTTATTAACAGCTCACCAAAAATTACTTTCCATATAGCCTTCATATGCAATGATTTTAAAAATGTATAATACTGTGACAAACAATGAGATAATGCTGAAATATTAGTTACAAACAGAAGTTACGAAGGACCTATCACCTCTGAATGAATCTTCAATATATTTCAGAATATCAACCTTGAAAAAAGGTACTTAAGCACATCTATAGAAAGGAAGAGAGATGCTATTCTGTAAAAGCCAACCAGGCCTAGTTCTGGTAAGGATATAAGTGATGAATGTCCAGCCATACAGAAGAGTACTGATAAACAGTCTGTTAGTCTAAAAATTCCATGCAATTTATAGAACCAAGTTTTATTACCATGCACACAAGAGGCCGCCACAGAATCCTACCGCGAGCTAATTCAAACTATCCCACAGCCTACAACTTACTGCTTCAACTTCCAATTTAACATAATTCTCCCATCTATCCACATGTCTGTCCCCATGTGGAGGCAGGTTGGAACACCTCCACAGTGGCCCTGAGAGCTGTAGAAAATGACAAAAGGGAACCCCATGCCTGGGGGTATAACTGGGCTACCTTGTCACTGGGGGACATAAATACAGAGACCTGGTCCTTCAGGCTGAGCACTGGATGCAAGGCTGCTGACCTTGCCCTGTAAAAATATTACTGCTGTGAAATCTAAAGAAGTGAAAACCGGATTGTCTAATTGAAGAGAAGTCTGGCAAAATCTTCTAAAGTAGGTTCCGGCTCAAGAAGGGCTGTTTTACCGATGATGATGATGCAGATGTCTGACAAGCAGTTTCTTCCCTTCAGATTTTCAATTAAAATTCTGTATGATATTCGCATATCCCAGTCATGCTCGATGCACTTCATCCTATCCACCAAATCCAAATACTGAAGCTCTTTAGTAACATTTTCCTTCAACATTGCTGTGATCCGATATCTTAAGATGCTGTGGTACAAGTCACAGTCCTGTGCTAATTTACTTCTCAAGCTTGGATGCACTGAGAACCTATTACAACTTATATCTGTTAGCTTTGCACTTTCACTGTCATACTTCCAAAATGCAGTTAGGAATTTTACAGGTCTTGCCATTAAGCTCCACATGGACCCCTGGAAGAACATGGCTACCACATGATCTGTGTTAATCATCCCCCTAACTTTGATATGGTCCCACACCTGAAACTAGACTGCCAGATAACCTGTAACAAAAGTTCCAGGACACACCTGTCTGTGTTTGAGCTCCGCTTCGAGCTGGCCTTGAGGCGCCCTAGCCTCATAGTCACTTTGCCCATTGCAGTCTTGAGGACGGCAGCTGCCTCCTCTTGAGTGGCGCTCTTCAGGTCTTGACCATTGACGGCCAGTATCTGATCACCTTTCATGAGGCGGCCATCTGCCTCTGCAGTGCCCCCATGCACCTGCAACAATCCATCTTGTACCTGCTGGTGTCACTCCTGGCTAGTGTGGAAATCCATCTCCTTTTGAGAAAACTTACCACATCTGAAATGAAAACACCATTCCCATATTTGCGACCCACTATACTGAGGCCCAGCCCCTTTCCTGGCTTCTTGGTGAGCTCAACCTCCATCACATTGAAGATATCCTCCTCCTTCACAGAGGCTTCATCTCGGAACACCACCATCTTCACCTGCAGAGATGCAGTGTGTGTTTATAACATGTGGTCACATCACATGAGAATGCAGAGCACACTGGTGTCAACCTGTACCTTGGCAGGAGTTTGTCGCAGTGCTGCTAACGCTCTGCTGTGAGTGATGCTCCGGAAGTCCTCGCTGTTCACCTCCAGGATCTGGTCCCCTGGTTTGAGGCGGCCATCCTTGGCAGCAGCACCATCTGGATACACCTCATGTATTATTATCACTCCCTGTAACACAAACAATGGCAGCACAGAAAGTGTCTCATGAGTGCTGTGGGGGCCGGGTGGCAGTCCCATGACCTACACTTACCAGCAGCGTGTCTGATCCACCCACTATGCTGAGCCCAAGACCCATCTTGTCTTTGTTAATTTCCACCGTTGTCTCCTGGCCAGGAATGACCTCACACTTTGTTGGGTCCAAGGGTGGTTCCTCTGAAGTTATGGATTGGTGTTTGGCCGAAGACGAGGGAGACAACCGCAGTGTGGAGGAAGGAGAGGCACTCGGCGAGACAGGCATAATGGCAAGGGAGGACAGATGACCCAGGCACGAACCAGGAGTTGTAGCAGGAGATTTTGAGGGTGCAGCCGGAGTTTCAATTGTTGGAAGGCCAGAGTTTGGTGACATTGTTTGAATGGATTTTGGTGGTGGAGATTTTTGTGGTTTCAGTGATGAGAGTTGTGGTTTCGGAAGTAATCCTGGAAAAGAAGATTGGCCACTTCATGGAAACTGATTGTATAGGACACAATATACTTCAGGTAGCAAATACACCACCAAAGAATGGTACTCAACTAGAAGTTTATCTGTATATTTAGATGCTAAATATTTACACTACTCAACTTTATTTAAGTATTCTGTTTAGGTTATCAAGTCAGTACCCACAGAGCCATAGCCTGGAAAAGACACTCCTTTATTAAATATTACCCCAGAATTGCATAAGTGATTCAACTAATAGTAACAGCTGGATTCTATCCCAGGAAAACAATAAATACTGTTTCTATCCTCATGTTTCAGAAACACAATTGCTATGGCTATGTTGGCAGACCCATTTATGCAAAGCTTTGTATACTCACATGGCCATGCACAATGCCAATCCCCCAGCACACCGCCATGGCAAAGCGAGATAGAAATAAACACGCAGTTAATACCAATGTTCACAAGCTGCTGAATCAGTGCAGAAAATAAGCAGCACAACATTATTAGTGACAGCAAGACAAATAGATTGCAAAGAAAACAAACTTTTGGTTAACTTTTGTCACCACATGCTCAAGATCAATAGTTGGCAGCCAGAAAGAAACAAGGCAAGAAGTGAACTGCTCTTCCAGTCAATATAACAATTAAATATATTTGAGAATGCCTGTGTGTGTATTCATAGGAATATGTACGGATCCAGAGGAACATGTGTAAAGGTCCAAATTGCCCAGCGTCAAGACAGAATATCGTGAGCAACGATTCACAAGAATGTGTGATAACTGAAGCAATGTGTAGCAAACTGCAGGAATGCACGTAAAGGTCTACAGTAACTTGTTCAAGGATCCAGGGGAACATGAATAAAATACACAGAGGAATATATGTAGTTTCATATGAACATGTGTAAGGATCCAGAACAATGAGTGACAGAATTAACAGGAACATGCAAAAGAACTGACCAGGAACATATAAATTATCCACAAGAGCACATGAAAGGACCCACAGGAACATGTGTAAAGATCCACAGGAACATGCACAAGAATCCAGAGAAGCATGTATGGATCCAGGAGAATACATACAAGAAATATGTATGTGTTTTGGTTTTTCTTGTGAGGTGGACAGGGAAAGCAAATCGATCAGTAAAAATTATTATTTTTTTTAATTTGCTTATTGGGGGGGGGGGTGGGGAGTCCAACTGGGTCCATTCAGCACTGTGGCCACTGATTGGCCTACTGTACCTGCCCTGGGTGATGATGATGATGGAGAATTTGGTGGAATGAAGATTGGCAGGGGGAACCGAAGTACTCGGAGGAAACCCGCCCCAGTGCCGCTTTGTCCACCATAAATCCCACTTGACCAGACCCGGAATCGAACCCGGGCCGCTGCAGTGGGAAGCCAGCAACTAACCACTTGAGCTATGGCAGGCAACTCAGTGCAAACAGTATGAATGTGCAGAATGCAGGCTGGTGGGAACTGTCACACAAAACCAGTGAAGTCCAGCCATACAACTGGCACTTCTGCGTCTCTCTAAATTGCATACTGATCAGAGATGAAATCTGATTTAGGCTCCACCTCAGAGAAAGGCAAAATACATGAAACTGGGACAATGACAGCAGTCTTTATGTACTGTTTTGCCCCTCTGGATGCAATCTGATCACACACATATTGTTTCCAACTCAACATAAATTTCCTTATGCACTGGCAATTCAATGTAAGTATTTAAAATCTCATATTTAACAGCTACTGGTCAGTATAACTGCTAGACAAACCAGCATGAATCACAAAAGTGAATGGAATGTGGTGTCATGTGGGACTCACTCGGTTTCTCTGGTTCCTTGGGTGCGGGTGAAACTCCTGTAGCAGCAGCACTAGGTTCTAGTGCGGGTGTGGCACTATTAACTTCTGCGTCTGCAGCCTTTTTCTCTTCCTCTTTCACTTTGTTAGGATTGCACACTACCAGTGTGACCACGCCCTCCGTCTTCTTCAGGAGAGAGGCAGCCTGCAAGACAGGAAGTGAGCCGCATGTGACATTCTTCCATTTACTGTTCCAGTCATGCTGAATGAGAACACACTGCAATGGCTTACCGAGTCATAGTCTGATCCCAGGAGTGTGTCCTTGTTCACAGCTAGAATCATGTCCCCTACAATAAGGCCAGCCTGCAACAAAAGCAGTTCTCATCATAAACGTAGACACATGCATACTGATTATCTTTCTACACAGCACCACTCTCTTGAGATCCATCTTGTATGGAGTATATCTGCCCCTCACTTCCAATACAACACATCAGTTCTTTCATTTACTGACTTGTTGTTACATGATGTCATGTTAATATCATACTGACATCAGTGCATCACACTATGTTCTAAACTGCACTACATTCAACTACACAGTATTCAAAGTGTTCTGTTCTAAAAATAATTATGTTTGAGGGCCAATGTAATGGTAGCATATTATAATTAATAAACAATAATAACAAGTCAACAAATATGGAAGAACTCACATGCTGCATTTAAAGTGTCTGGCAGATAAAGATGACTCTCACTGTACGTGCTTTTATTGTTTGTGGGTTCATTTCAATGTTAACAGGGGCATGAATGCCCCACCCACAGCCATGGTAGAAGGTGCCACACATGCCTGGCAAGTTACACCCTCAACTAACTTCCAGATACAGAATCATACACCCCACACCCCATGCTTCATTTGCATTATCCAAATATTCATGCAACAACCGTCGACAGTCTCTGCATCTAACAACAGTAAACTACTTCACTACAGTATCGCAAGGAGAAACAGCACTACATATTACATTGTGATGAAAGGATTACCTGCCTTGCAAAATAAATTACTACTTCTGAATATATCTTAATTGTTTATGTTCTGACATCACGTATGGTATTTTTCATCTAAAACACGTGTAATCACATTGCATTTCTATACATGCGTATTTTTTCTCAGATGTTTTTACAGGATACTTTAATGGCACATTTTCTTCTGCCATTTGTTATGTGAAATCTAATATGCATATAAATATAACTTTCCTATTTCCTACCATAGACCTAACAGAGAATACCCAAGGATACTGTCATCATGCATATGGATGAGTATAGATGGGTTTTGGATTGATAATTTACTGGTCTCTTTGACACAGCACATGACTACACTTTACAATTCATTATCTCTCTCTCTCTCACACATGTGCACGCACACACAGTGTCCACAGTCATGTCTTCAATAGCCACTGCTTGGTAGTGGCTTCCACTGGCAGACGTTGCCCTTTCTCTAGGTTCCTGAACTATCCCCATGCCTCAGCTACCAGCTTCTCACAGCAACAGCTCACTAGGACTGAACCTCAGTAGTTCTCTGACTAACTCAGTCACTCACTAACTGTCGTGCTTATGACATCTTGGCACCGACTGCGTAGAAAACACCATTCCTCTGTTGCTGCTTATGGGCCATTGCCTAGCAATGGATCTACATGCCACAATATTATTAAATTTCCTCTGTACTCTTGCCAATATGTGCAGAACACACGGCTGTTAAAGTGACGTGTAAGTGTTATGGCTGAGATTCCGGGTGTGACTTCAATTGTCATTCCAAATTTTTTCCTTTTTGATTATGTCAGTAAATTTTTAATTTCCAAATTTTATGAGTACATTTTGATTTGTTAATTTCACTGAATTCATGTCTGTGTTGTGCATTAGCATGCTTATTTCTTATAAATGATCATCTAGAACAATCACAACAAATTATATTAAATTTCATTAGCAGATAAATTTCAGCTTGTCAGCCATCTGCACTGAACTGAACACAGCTGAGAAGCTGTCATCTGCTAATAAAATTTAACAAAATTTGTCATGGTGGGTAAGCGCAGGGGTTTGTGTTAATATACATATATATACAGGGTGTCCCAGGAGGAATGTGCCAAACTTTGGGAGGGTGTTCCTTATGTTAAAGTATGCCGATATAACCCAAAACACCCATGTCCAAAGTTGAACGGTTACGGAGATAATGGCCTGAGAAAAGTGTGGTCTTCTGGCGAGTCCACACACTGTACCTGTCAGCTGGCATGTCTTATCTACGTTTGTCCTTGAGTGTGGTGATGGCAGCTCACGTTAACCCCATACACTCACATACCAGAATGCGCAGTCAGCAATGTTATGTCAGCGCTTGCCATTCATGTGTCATGTATAGTGCTTGGAACTCTTAATGACAACTTTGACATGGCGTGCGAGTTTTTTGTAGTTCAATTTAATGGCTTCATGTCTTTCACAAGTTTGTTTGATGTTACGTACATTATTAACATTACAGAAACTACATATTCCTGCCAGTTTTAATATGTATTTTGTAATCAACAAGTGTGTAACACCGGTCAAAGTTTCACACTTCTCTGGCCATTATCTCCGTAACCGTTCAACTTTGGACATAGGTGTTTTGGGTTATATCGGCATACTTTAACATAAGGAACACCCTCCCGAAGTTTGGCACATTCCTCCTGGACACCCTGTATATTTAGTTCAATGTGATACTGACAAGGAACACAACTGTATCATAGGTGAAGGATGGTTACAGCAGCTTGTATTGTCTCAGTGAATCACAGATGGCTGTAAACCACTGACCAACTCAAGACTGAAAGCAATCTATTAACAGAAAACATACACAGAGTAACAACCAGAGCCCACAAGCATAGTAGCACATAACCAAAACCTGCACTTCATGAATCACTGTCCAAATGTTGCAAAGCGTTATGTTTATATGAAAAATACAATATGTGATGTCACTGATAACACAAAAGAACAAATGTATCCAAATTATCATCACTATAAAAGCCTGAAACAAAAGACTCTTTGTAAAACTATTTATTTTTTAACAAATGCTCTTACAGTACAGTCTTTTGTATGCATGCCCCTGCTACATTTTTAAACCAAGAGGTAAACGACTAATAAATGAAAAAACACTGGATATTATAATTTGAAAATCTAGATCAGTCTCCTTTGACACAGTTCTGGAACAGGGATTATGTAGCTTTCTACAGCGAGAGGGAGCTATGACAGGGGAAAAAGAGGAGCAGTGAATATAATTATATAGCAGACTACATGTAATATGACGGCAAATCTAACACAACTATCACATCAGTGTCACACAGAAGCAGAACAAATCACTTTGATAAATGCTCGATCTGAGACTCTTACAGTGGTGACTATGTAGAATGTTTAGTTTGAGAGAAGTCCACTGAGGTTTTGGAAGAATGTAATGTCTCTGTCTTCAGGGTTGAACAGTAAATTGAGCAAGTAGTCAGAAGGGAGCAAGTAGCAAGCAGAGCTCTGCTCCCCCACCCCCACCCCCATTACTTACTCTGTTGCCTTTGTCCCTTAAGGTGGAGGTGACACACTTCTCTGAAACGTCAGCAGACTTCTACCAAACTACATAATGTTACAATTCAGAAGATATACCACTCCATAATTTGTGTATAATATACTAGGCCGTCACTATGTAATCAGTGTTGTATATATACTTTACACTTCATATATACCTCAGGATGTACATAGGTTGCAACTACTACTATGAATATTTAACACATAAATACATATGAAAACAATCTCTTATTGACCATATCTGGGAATGCAGTATTTAAATCATCTGCTGCTACAGCACTGACAGCCAAATTTTAACTCGTGATAATGTTACTTATATTGAATAAAATGCAATGCTATGTACCTGGACACACACAAAAGCCACCACAATGGTATAACATGCAGCGGATAAAGATGAAGTGCCCTCTGCATAAAGTGTATAACAGGAACACATAACGGTGAGTACCCACCTGCCTGTAAACATGTCTCATCTGACAAATCACTATCAGTGACATGTTATTTTATTTTATTTAAAAAATTGCAGGTCACATTTCGTTTTTTGGTTCCACCAGTCACTTGTTCTTTCACATGGAAACTGTGCCTAACAGAAAATGCCGAACCCCACTAATATAGTTTTCTTTACCTATTTTTTTTTTTTTGATACTATGTATCATAAATACAAAAATCTAACTTCCTTACTGTGTAACCAGCCAAGTGGCAGGTCAGAGATGAAGCTCCAAACATAAATATGATGATGTGATAATGTGCTGCCTGGTCAGGGCTATGACACATCTCATGGGGGTGGTTACACATAAGTATGGAGCAATGAGGGACTGGTGCTTAGCAGGGGAAAACCAAATGAACTTGGATTAACACCTACTCCCATAACACTCTCATATGAAGTCACCTGGGAATGAGCCAAAGGATCTACAGTCAGCCACCCAATGGTCTCAGCTATGGCATGGCTTCATTGTAATGCATATTTAAGAAAAAGAAGTGTATGCCTGCATGTGGTGCAGTATCTGTATTGCTGGCTAGCTCTAACAATAATGAGTTGTACCTGCAAAGTATAAACATAAGGCCCAGTGGGGGATTCAGAACTGTACTTGAGAACTCTTGTGTACTCCTCTGTTCTCTTGATAACTGCAGACACACTCAACTTTCTTTATACAACAATAAAACAAATTCACTTGTCTGCTGCGTATCAAAACAGGTTCAGGAAGCAATGAAGCCATGCAGTGAAGCCATGCGACATACAGGATACCTGTTCAGCAGCACTGCCCTCCTGGATGTCCGAGATAAAGATACCTTGACCGACCTCGGCATGTTTGCCTTCAATTATCATGATACCCAGACCCTGAGCTCCCTGAAACCAATGAGAAACACACAATGTTGTCACACGGCACGCCGACATCCTGCAACACAAAGCAGCATGCACTGACAAGCATACACTCTGTGTATGTACAGTCTGTCTCCTGTCTGCATGCGTATCTCATGCCTATGGACATGGCCTACCTGCTGGGTAGGGCTCGGACCAGCCTCCAGGCAACACGGCTGCGGGAGACAGAAACAATAATTGGTACATCTACGCTACCTGACATGCATGGAGATCTCTGGCAGAACTGAACGCAATTTAACTTTACAATTCAAGCCACATTAGGCAGTAGACTTTTAATTCATATTAGCTTATTTCAGATGCACAAGAAACCAAGGACCAACCTCTCTTCAGACTGTGAACACAGAACTGAGTGGCTCATGACTTATATGTTCATTAACATTCAGTGTTGATTTCAAGCACAAGAGTGCACCAGAAACTGAATGACAAGGATGATTATAAGACTGTTCTTCTTTTGTCTCTCCATACTCTCAATGTCCAGGAGACCAAAACCATGTCAACAGCTACTCAATCCTGATCCCTTGCGTCTGAAAGGGCCACATATGAATCCTGTCTCCCTCTCTTCTCCACACAGATGTGAACCAACCTGCTGACTGTAATCTGTGTGGATCCTCAACGTTTCATGCAAACCTGCATCTGTGTAGATGCTACATAGTTCTGATGATGGTGCATAACACTTGGAATTATCAGGTTTTTGGACTTTGTCCATCATCCAGTATTCTAAAGAAAACTGAAGAATACAATATTTCAAAAACTGGATCTGTTCCTGTCCTCAGGTGAAGGGGTGGGAGACACCTTCTGCATTGGGTGCAGTAGAAAGAGCTAACCTCAATCATTTGAACTACTGTGATTAGCGCTTTCTAACAGACCCAACAGAGTAGGTGTCTCCCATCCCTTCACCTGAGGATGGAAATGGATTCAGTTTTTGAAACATTCTTTGGAATACCAGACAGTGGATAAAGCCCCAAAACCCAGTAATTCTGACTCCTATCTGTGTGTTAGACAGAAGTGATACATATGTATCACTTCTGTAACGTAACTGGAAGCCCTGTTGTTCTTGTAGCATTTGTAGCAGTGATAATAGTGTTAATATTTGAAAAAAAAAATAGTTTAAAGAAGCAGGCAAGCCTGCCTGCCACAATGGTTGCAATGATGGAAGCAACAGAGAAAAAGCAAAATTGATATTACTGCATGAGATGTATATCACACTCACTCACTGATTAACTGAGCACATTAAGCCTTTAAAGCACAGAGTTATTATATATGCTCAGTCTGATTCTCAGGGTAAACAGTGATTATGTTCCTAACGACAATTAACTGGTATGCCTCTGTAATGGAAACAGTGTTCTCTGTGAGGTATGAACTGAATTCCAAAAATATTATTTTGCTGAATATCAGGCTTCAGATGTTAACTCAGTTACTTTTCTTTTATCTGTCACAGGTTAAAGCAACTGCTCATTTTCAGTCTTGAGACACCTCAGAAGCATTCTTACTTGTTCTGTTCATGAAGGTAACATGTGTAGCCTTTGTACCAAACAGCAGCCTGCAGGTCTGCAGGACTGTCTGTAACAATGCCATCTTGTTCATGTCCTGATTAAGTAACTCTGAATTCTTCTCCCTCACTTTGCATCATGCCTCTTAATTGGCAGATCCAATAAAGCGTGACATAAATGTGTGCAGGAGAACTCTATGGGCGCTGTAGGGTACACATACACTATTCTGGGGTGGGGACTGTAAGCCCTCTTTGTAATATTAATTTTATCAGACATGCAGCTGGGTGTTTTCTGCAACTACTGACTTCTCGGATAGACTTGAAAGGATTCTGACGATGGTGTATACTGTACTTCTTTTGGCTTAATTTGGACTTCACCCATCGTCCGGTATATAAAAAAGACAAAAAACCACAACGTTTCGGAGACTGGATCTGTCTCCGTCTTCAGGTGTATAGGTGTATATACACCTGAAGACGGAGACAGATCCAGTCTCCGAAACGTTGTGGTTTTTTGTCTTTTTTATATATCGGACGATGGGTGAAGTCCAAATTAAGCCAAAAGAAGTACTGACTTCTCCTTCAGTAATTTACATGTAAACACATTCTTTTAAAAGGGGCATTTAGAAAAATTACTAAAACCATCTGCACAACTAAATCAGTGTAAAACACAGCAACAAATAAATATACAGCATCCTCAAGGACATATGTACCAAATTTCATAACTGTGCAGCTTGTGACTGCATACAAATATGCATCTAAACTTGATAAAATTAACACTGCAAAGCCAGGACTTAACAAACTCGTCTTGAATGAAATGCAATTCAACTAAGATTCTTATACAGAAAGGGCCCCCTTTTCATTTTAAAGATGAACAAGAAGGGTCAGGTTGTGAAAGAAAAGACATAAGGAATGACAAAAACATGTGATCAAAATTTTGTTCTCCTGAATCGTTTTTTGAATATTTCTCCATAATTCACTCTCTAGATTAAAACAAACTGGTGCACGTGAGTCTGGATGTACCACCAACATAAACAATAAACCTGCATGAGACTAGTTAGCTTGAGCAGTAACACTTCTGACTGGTATCTGGGAGATGCCTGGTTTGAATCTCAGCTGGAACACTGGTTACCCTGATTGAGGTTCTTTGTGGTTTTCCTCAACATCTCCCTTCCACGTAGTTTCCAATTCATTTATCATTTTCCTTTCGATGCTACAATAAAGTCGGATCTGCTGGCAGCTTTATTAAATAAACCAAATAAATAAAATCCAAATTTCATGCACAACAAGAAAATTTCACATTTAGTGCTTGTTTGTTGGTTTCCTCTGCTCCAAACACACTATTCATAATTAACACATCCTTGATCATGTAACACACACAACACCTGCAGAAAATATAGCATCATTACATGAACCATGAAGCAAAGACCTTCCCCCACCCCCTTATATCTGGCTGAGTAATCTGTGGTAATATTCAACACCATACCTAAACCTGCCAATTCACTCTCACAACGCATTACTTTAAAATAAACTGGAACATTATCCTTCACTGTCCTTCTTGACTTTCCAAATGGCCACTTTTATAGAAGTTTTCTCACAAAAATTATCTATTATCTTTTGTAGGCTTATATCTTGTTTCCTTCTAGTTAGCTGCTTGTAATGTCCCAATGTAACATTTGCTCTGTGCTGTTAACGCCCCAGCAGGCAACTGGCCCGCAACTTCATCGGGCAGGCCACATATCAAAACCTTATCTTGCACACTTCCGCTCCAACAATACAATATCCTGTGCTTAGCACGGAAGTATCTTACCTTCTTGATAGTGATGGTGCGAAGCCCTTTGAAGCTGCTGTACCGCTCCTCGGGCGTCTGAAACAACAGTCACACTCACCATCAAGCCCATCCGGTCTTCCAAACACTTTGGCATGCAGATATTATCACCATTTACAATTATTCTGGCCTGACTTCCATTATTTACCTTTTCATATTTTCTTTCAACTTACATTGTTTTCTTGGATTAAGAGACCGACCTTTCACAAGCAGCAGTAAGTTACACTTCTAGAACCTCCTGATGTGACTAAACATTTAGTAAAATTGATGCCAACTATGAAACTGACATCCACATGAACGACTCATATGATTTCATTTCCGTTATTCCATTTCACAGGATTTTCAAATCCTGAAAGTTTGCTAAATTGTGACACACACGTGGAACTACATAGACACTGTAACAGTATGAAAGGAGTTTCCTCTAGACAATATCACCATGCCACTTTACCTGCAGGAAAGGATCCCATAATATCCTTTAGAGAGGAGGCTAGTGGGTCCCAACCTGTGTTTCCTAGGAACTGAATGTAATTACCAGCCATCTCATATGGGCAATGAGACAGACTTACAAAACGAAAATTCATGTATGACTTAAAATTCTGATGGCAACTAAACATCAAGAGGTTTTCCTGTGTGATAAGCCTTCTCAATTTGGAGCAGAACTCAAAATGTTTAAGAGATGGCTGACTGCCATACAACAAGCTTCCCCCCAACAAAAACATTCAGGACAGTCACACATCAAACCAAAGATAAACAAACAAACCACCAAAACTAAGTAACATCATATATACAGGGACTGACTATACACATGTACCTTAAAATATAACTAATATAATCCATCACACATTACAGATACTGCAAATATGTGCATAGCAATAGCTTGTTAAGCAACATAACCTAGACTTAGTCTGAGGCAATTATGCAAGAAATGGGGAGCCAAGTCCTTCATCACAATAACGTGTGCACCTGATAATGGTGATGTAATGACAATAAAGAGAAGATGACGGAGAATATTAACTGACGATGCATATCGACAGCAAAAAAGTGGAATGCAAATTCAGGTTTAGAACTTCGGTGTATTCATTATTGGGCAATGTGATGTTATTCCCTGATGACAGAGGCTGAGAAGGTCTTTGACACACTGGATGTATGTGCTGAACTGATGCAGGTGGTCACATGAGCAGATTCTATCATGAGAATTCAAGTCCCTAAAGCTAAGCTTCTAAGACAAAGTGATGGACCATGGTTAATGGAGACACAAAGAAAGGAAGATGTAAGAAGTAGAGGGGACCTTGGTGGCCTCCGCAGTCTAGGGGTAACGTTCCCACCTCATGACTCAAGGTATGCGGGTTCAAACCCAGCAGAGGTCGTGGAATTTTTAAGGGCGGAAAAATTCAGGGAACAAGTCCTCCGGGAGGGACTTTAAGCCGTGGGTCTCGTGTCGTAGCTTTACAGCACGTAAAAGAACCTCATGCCTCAAGGAGGCCTCTGAGCCAAATTATAAGGACATTTCCCACCCAACAATAGTCTCTAATGCCTCTGGTAGATGGGGGAAGCATCTAGATACCGCTGAGCCAGTAGAGGCCGAACTCGCTGGCTGAGTCGGGACTGATGGCACACACCAGTATCGGTAGGGTATAGAGACTGGTAGAATATCACAGGGGGACGTACAACAGACCACTGGTCATGGTGCATGGGGAAATCCACCCCCTCCAATAATAATAATAATAATAATAATAATAATACAGGGGACCTTTTAAGTTAAATCTGAGACCGCAGAAAAGCACCAAAACAGAACAAATAAGGTGACAAAGAAGAAAGCAAGACAAAAGATTTGAACCACATATTAGAGTACTTGCCTAAAAGGGAATGAGATTGGCAATGTGTGCTGCTGGCAATCACCAGTACCAGCATTTTATGGATTTTATTGAAAGCAACAGTGTGTTCCACATGTAACTATATTGAAGTGACAGTTCAACAATTTCAGCAAGAGTGACTACACCTGAGGATGGCTGTGTGAGGCAAAAACATGTAGAAGAGTGTACATAGTATAGAAGGCAAGAATAAAATCGTTGCATTTGGATGGTGAAACCCTTACCCACTAGAGATTTAGACAGATCTCTCAACATATGAATGAACCAACCATAATTCCTTTCTAACTTAACTCCTCAAAGGACCTAAATTTTAGCACATACTACCACCATGAGCGCCACCACCTATACTGACTTTTCGGAGCACATCTGAAGAGCTGGTAATGACCTGTTTCAGTATACGTTTATTGACTTAATGAGATGTGAGGTGAATGTTGAGACGGGAAAGGGATGTTGTGGGGGCAGTTACCTATGCTTCAGAGGAACACACTGTCCCCATAATCAGGGTAGGAGTGAAGATCCTGGGAACGTGTTCCTCTGAAGCACAGGTACCCATCCACTAATCCTGGTGGTGTCACACCCCAGAAGCCTGTAATCTTCTAACAGATTACACGCAGTCTGCATTTCACATGGTTCTCTATGACTTTACAGTGAAATTCTGTGATATTAATCCACAACAGGTGACTGCCTTGTTCCAAATCCTAATCTAGACATTATTCATGATCAGGTTCCCAGCTCAGAACTGCATAACCTCAGCGGAAAAACCAAGAATAAATCACTCATCAGAACATGGGTTCGTACCTCATCATCTAGTGTAACTGGAAACTGGGTGATGGGCTTCACAGCTAAGTCCTCTAGAGCAGCATCCCGCCTGAAACAGTTAAATGATACATACATACACACACAGAACTGATCTTGCCATAACACCACACCTCAGAATGTGACACAATCCTGAGCCAGTTCCACCCACATCCTCTCATCATAACCTATCTCCATTCACTGATGTTTCAGGCAAATGTATTGTTTTCATCTTCAGAACTGAAGAATAAACCAAGGACGTAACTGACAGCACATATCTGCTAGCCACCTGCTTGGTTTACTCTTCAACCCTGAAGATGAAGGCAGATCTGAAAAATCGGAGAATTTCTGCCAGACTACACGGTCTCACATTCCAGAAACTAGTATTCTTTGTAGTCACCTTCTTTAAAGTTTTAACTACTGCGTCTATACTGTGATATTGACATGGGAAACAACCATATCCTGGACGAAGCATGGGTATTTGCACTGACATTTGCGTTTTGGTATCATAAAGCTGGGGAAATTGCCATGACAAGGCATACAGACATACAGTCAGGGTGAGCAAGCAATACAGGCAACAGGTAACACAAGCAACTTAATGTCCTGCTGCCCGCTTCTTGCTTTAATGACGCCTTATCAGGTGTACAAGTTACATAACAATGGACTACAGGATAATCGTGAACGATGAACAGCGAAAGGATACAAGTGGAGGTTGTCGTGGCCTATATAATTTATTTTCGCGTGTTCATTGGAGGCACTGAGGAAAACCACAAAAAATCTCAGTCAGAGGTTGTTTGTGTCTGTGCCGAGACTCGAACCCAGGGCCTCCAGAATACGAAGCACGTGCGTTAACCAGACCACGTCCCTTGGCGCGCACTGCTACCAACCCTAAAATCATAACACTCAATACACCTCACCCCTTCTTCCTCCGTTGTTTTCCTCAGACCTAAGAGCCACCCAGTCAACTAGCCACGCGAACAAAGGACAGCCGCCTCGTCACACCTGCCAGATAACCAGCGTAGTTACTGGTTGCGACGCGAGGTGCCAGTACCAGCCGGGGTCACCTCAACACGGCAACGAATCAATAAGACTGGCCTTCGCACAATTTCCATAGCAACTCATCCTTCACATTTTTATATTTACAAGGAAATACTGCGTTCGTAGGAGCTATCCAGTACGCATGATTACGGCCGGCGTGGGGCATGGGCACAGTGGTATCCCCAAAACTCAAATGTTTCGGTAGAACCTGCTGCCTCCTCCTTGAGGGTAGAAGAATAAAGATGAACGTTGGTGATACCGCGGCTTCACATCCCATAAGACTAAATAACCGTATAAATGAACAAATATCCAGAACATTAGGCGTTGGCGTGGTGCGTTTTACGGTTCCCAAGGATTAGACATCGTAGATTTTCATACCATCTAACCCCCAGGCAGTGTAAAATTATTTGCTTGAGAAGACGGAATCCAGGGGCCCATGCCAAGCCGACGGCCTGGTACATCAGTCTTGTGTATGGAAGTTGTCCAGCGCTTAAGCATTGCTCATCGGCCTGATTTCCTACTTCTCCGTTTCTTGGATACGATTTGAATCCTCAATCCCAATCGGATTTTTCTTTTTAATTACACCCGTATTTCTTTTCTTTCTTTCTTTTTTTCGTTTGAGTGTCATTCCTCCTCTAAACTGTTACCTGCTATTGACACTGTAACCGCCTTTAATGTTCCCTGGCTTAGGGTTTCTCTCATTTAAAATCCAGTTTCAATGATCCCGAGTCAATAATTCCAGTGTTAAATGCCCTCCATCTTGAATTTTCCCCAGTTTCGTTTTCAAATCCAGTGGTCTCAAAACCTCACTTCAAATGGGTTCAGTGTAATACTAACAACGACAGGAACCATATCCTGAGTGAAGAACTGGTATTTCTGTTAGTAGCAGACAAAGACCCATTTCTCGGGTCTCATATTTCCGTCTCCTCAGAAGCGTTAGCTATAGTTACACTAGGACGGCCCAACATGTAGCCCGTGGAGATATCTTAAATGAGAAAACGTCTTGTAACCCTTTACAAATCATAATTAACTTACCAACAATTAAACGAATATACGAGAGTGGCCATTACCGAAGTTACCGGCACAAGGCTCGGAAAGCCTGATGCCACACAGTAAGCAATTCTGCGACAGCAATCTCAAAGCAGAAGAGTCGGACGCTAGTCCCGTCAAGCCGGGCGTACCTACAGCGACTAAGTTCCCTTCACGCGGAGGCTGTCTGAAACACTCACTGTATTACAATCTGGCTGTTAATTTGCTTTCCAGCTGTTTATATCCTCGCGTTTATGCGCATTTATTTGTGAATAACAGAGCCATTACGCTCCATTATATTTATGTCTTCACGACACACATTAACATATTCCAAATATACAAGAAGGCGATTCGGACCACCTGGGACACACACGGACAGCTGCGTGACGCTCAACAAGACTCGACCCAAGAACCTGATCCCAATGTTTGGGCTCCTGCAGTGCCGAGTGAACCACCGACAAGAGGGGTGGCAACCCACTAACGGTAAAGCGGGCCTTGCGACATTAATATACTCGTATCGCTACTATATTCCTTTCTACTCTCACGTGTTATCGAACGATACGTAAAGGTCGACGTTTGACGCTCTCTCCCACGAATAACACGCATAAAAAGTCAGTTGTAAGCCGTCTCCTTTATACAGTATACTACACTTCACACCCCCACATCAAATATTATCAATACTCACAGAATAGACACGATATATTGGAACAAAAGACTACTGTCTCACTAATGACTCATGAAACGCGTTAATGCTCTTCAGCTTTATTGCTACAGTAATCAGTAATTAATTAAGTAAGTAACTTCAGAGATTTCGTACCTATAGTCTTGGTTTTTGTCAATTACACTTGGCATAGGCCAAGCATATTCATAAGAGACAAACCCATGTTCTGGTCAGAGTGGAAGTTACATAAGGACTATGACAGCAAGGGTTCAGTTGGCAAAAAAAAAAAAAGAAATCTCTGGTCGTGAGTCTCAAGGGGCTCGTGAATGGCGGTAAACCGCCAGTCTGACTCTAAGTCAGAACTATCTGCTGGCAGTCTTCAGTCAGTGCTCGACAGTGGTAGCGGGTGACAGCCAGAGGTGGCCGTACGCGACCATGAGATGAGATATGAGACAGTCGTCAGCCAGCAAGAACAGGAGCCGCCAAACACGGAAGTCGAGGAATCTACATTGTTGGAAGTCCTCATGTCACAATACATATACATGAGTTGTAGTTCCTGATGACCTGACCCTCAGCTACCGGTACTCAGACACTACAAGGGGAGAAGGGAAAGCTTTTCGAAGAAAATATCGGGAACTGTGTTAGCGTTTTCAGATAAAAGTGCCGGCACCAGGTGCTGATATGGGCCGCGACAGAAACAAAGCCCACAAATATGGGGCGCACGGATATGCTGCAACGAATTATGTGAATAAAGGGAACGAGTACAGAGGGTGACAGTAAGGGAAACAGAAAATATAAGGACATGAAAGCGAAGAGCAAAGAAAATCAGAGAAAAACGAAAGGACAGAAAAGGGGAAAAGAAAGAGAAACACACAAAAAGAAAATGAAAGGAAACAGGAAAAATGGGAGACAAGAAAGAAGCAATGAAAGACAGAAAACAGCCTCTGCAGTTAGCCGTCATTCTGAATGGCACGCACTGGAACCGAAGCCAGGCCCGTTACATATTGATTTTTACAGGACCACACTGCGCAGATTCCTTCCGCCAGTGTCATTATCACATGGGCGACTGCTCTCGCTCGGTATCGAACTCAGGGCCAGTCGGTCGGTAAGCAACCCTATCTCCATGCGACAGTTTATATCGTATCACATTGTTTTCAGAGCAGGAATCTGCGGTTATCCTGGGGATTGACTCAGCATTCTTGTCAGGCTTGCTTACCTTCAGGAATCACTGGCACGACTTTTGAGCACAGCGCCTACTCGGTTAGAGCACCCTCCATTCAGAAGAGCCGAAGAAGTTGCAGCATCGCGAGGGTAACTCGGTCGTTATTCGAGACAGCAACGCGTCATGGCTGGGAAATATGTGACAGATTACTTAACTCATTAGCGGAATGATTTCAGGAGCAACTCGTGACACCTAGCTGCCCTCAAATTTTTCGTCTGTGACGGGGCATTCAGGAACCACGAACAACAAAACAACAACAGCAACAACAATAATAATAATAATAAATGGGGGGTCTACAAATGTTGCCTCGTGTAAATTGCGAACTGGGATACGACGCCGTGCAGTTCTGAAGATAGGCACCAATGATTCGGAGGCACAATCTGACTCCATCTTCAGGCTATATGAGAGTGGGTCTGTCGAACATTTAACAACATCGACATCAAACATTCGGTTTGAATCCTGCTGGTCCGTTGCGGCTCCTAAATCTCAACTCTTCATGGGCCTTACAAGTCTTCCTTTTCCCGTGGTTATCGTCAAGCTTGCTTACGTAGTCGGTGGTCCTCCACTCGTTGTAGACAGATGCGGCAGTTAATTACCAATAATTGCACGGTTTAGGGACCTATATCTGTTCTCCACACTGTGAAGGTTTAGGGCGCCAGCGCCTGTTTACAGTTCACTGCTGATCCAGCCAATCTTCTTTGAAGAAACCGAACACCCCCCCCCACACACACACACACAGGTCTGCATTGTAATGCTGTCTTAAGATGCTCCATAACCCCCGTCTTTCCATGTAGGCTCCCCTATGACAACAAACAACTTTACTACTTGCATCACCCGCCCTCTACACCAGACAGACAGACTCTGGGGCTCACCCAGCCTCCTGTCCAATGGATACCGGGGGAATTTTCCTCAAGCGTAAAGCAGTCGGGTCGTGAAGCTGATTACTCCTCTCCAAAATACGTGGATCTATACATCCACTCCCCGATACGTCTTCATGGTGTACTGCTACATAGATTTCTGTTCGCATGTCCAGCATACATACGTTCTGTGTGTAGTGGACCTTTCCTTTGTATCTTCCACTTTTCGAGTTAATTAAGCAAAAGTGAGCGGACAGGCCGGAACTGATGCGCTATGCGTCCATGTCCGGTTGTTAGTCACCGCCTCCTCGGCCATGTGGGAGTAGTGGGGGCGTCTGATGAGGGTTGCCCTACAGGGCTGAGCGAACTTGGTGAAATGGGGAAAAAAGTCACTCATTTTGTTAATTATTGGCAGTTTCCGTTCCAGCGCCAGGGAACATTGGGCCACTCCCCGGAAGCCGCGGAATGAATGGTGTGAGACCACCGAACACCGTGGTGGCGGTGTTGGGGTGCGGTCGCGAGATGGAAATTTATGACAGTGTTCGCAGTTTCTCCTTCCGTTTTTCTCTGATATTAGTTCTTTTGCCAGATGACCAGAAACTGCTGAAGGGCAAAAGCAATACATGTGTCTACTGCTGTTGCTAGGCAACCGTTCAGTTCACACAGCGACCACCACGCAGCGCCATGGCGACACACAACAGAAAAATGGACAGCGGGAATATACATTCATAATAGTCATAATTAATAAGCACTTCAATTGTTCCAGTAGAGTTTGCGTTGAAAATATCCGGCCGGAAGGACGGGCGCTTTCAGTGCTTACTGCTAACGTGGAACTCCATCGATTCTTACTTCATCATACATAGTACAGATGGAATAAAAAAGTGAAGTGCCAATGCTTAATTAAGTACCGCGCCATGAGGACGTATAGCTCCAAGCATTCATAATTTCGGCACGAGATGGAGGAAAAAAACCAGTACCCACTGAATAGGAGGCTGCGTGGGCCCCAGAGCCGGTCTGAAAGACGCGGAGAGGAGAAAAATCTTGCCCCTACCAGGACTCGAACTCCGACTCCTTGGCTGTCCAGCCCGTAGCCAGTCGATATACCGACTGCACTACGTTTTCGTGTATATCAACCCCAGTACAAAGTTTCATGAAAACCCGCTCATCGGTTCTCCAGTTTCTGTTTTCGGTCACTCTCTCTCTCTTTCTTTCTTTCACTCATACGGTGAAGCTGATACGAGACAAAAATGCACGCAAACGTTGGTCCGTCGGTATCCGAACCCGAGATTCCAGCTTTCCCTCGAACTAGAACCGTGCGACTCTTGTGGTCGCCATAACAACATGTCGGTCGCTGCTTCCTCCGCTTCCTCTGTCCTCCTCTACAAACCAACGCTCCAGATCACGTGACCTTGTACTAACTTTCTGTGACACTGCAATCAGAGCCCAATTAACAGCAAATTTCCTGCGCTACCTTGCAGCGGACGTCATTAGAGCGGCGTCGGATATTGTGACGCTGCCACCGCTACTGTGCATAGCCTCAAGCACACCAAGTCTGACCTTTCATCCGAGGGAATCTGCACTAACTAGCTAGCTAGTTAAGTAATAAACCAACCAACCAACAAACAAACAAAGGAGCTAACTCCATGTAACACAGTTCTTCTTGAGAAGCTAATAGTCGCCAAGCTTGTCAGAAATAATAAAATACCGGAAGATTTATTAAGGTGTTCACAGAAGTCCACAACTTGTTTGTATCTTCAGCCAGACAAATGCTCCTTTTCCAAATTTCTCTAGATTCACTTTAGTATTATCCCCCACATTTTCCCATGTATTCCAATTGGTCTCTTCCCTTCAGGTTTAGTATGCACTTTAATCTCTTCCAAGCATGCTACACGACCCACCCAACAGCAAATATAGAATAGGACATGACTTAGGGGAAGCACTCAAGTATTCGCTGGATTTCAGATTCTCACAGTAGTGATCATATAAAGTTGTGTAATCCAGTGTAAGTCAACGGACGTTTCGGAGGAACATAATTTCCTGAATTGAAGAGTATGCCAAGAAGACAAAAGAGTGAAGAAGGTGGCAAGGAGTCTTTAGTCAAATGCTTGCTTCAAGGCATGGCTGTTGTTTTGAATAAAATTAGCAGCAACCTCTTATTTTATAACACACTGATACAAATGTTTTTCTTCGATCATGAAACCTTTCTTTGCACTATACAGGAAAGAATTCTCTCACGTAGTCTCGAGAAGTTTTAGGGAGTAGGAACGGAATGTTGAATCTGTGAACCTTCCTCCATCATGCGACAAAAGCAGTCTCTTGTACACAAACTGATGCCTTTAAAAGTATGAGTCAGGTCCAAACACACACTTCTATATGTGACTTTAATGTTTGCAGGTCATGATCAGTTCACGTATTATTTTAAGGGTCTAACAAACCTAATCACCACTACTAATTTCAGCTCAAAGTGTAATTTGAACACTGAAAAGGCCCAAGGTTCTCGCAGCAATGACTCTGCCATATTACTATTTTCTGGGATGTGATACTGGCCAGTATAGTATACCATTACCAACGTTCTAGTAACTTCGTTGCTTTGATCTTTCTTTCTTCTCTTTCTTGTCACGAAATTATCTCCAGCCTGATGTTACTTCATTCTCACGTCCTAAAGTTCTCATTACAGCTATACTGGGGCCACAGGGAGAAGTCCCATGGATCAATTCCTTCCTGAAGATGCTATGCTTTCCTCCAGCTGTATAGTCATTCTGTTCATAGGAATGCTTGTAGCGATAGATTTCACTAGCTACAAGATTTTTTGAGGGGTTATTTATGCCAGATTGAGCTGCAGTAGATAAAACAGTAAGACTTGAGCACCAGTCATCCCCCCCACAAGACCTCAATACAGGCATGTGTCACTTTGGGTCAAAATTTTGACGTTTTTATGGAATTTATCATAAAGGTTTCATGTGTTAAGTAACACAGCATAGGACAGTCGGAACATGAGCATTGTGGTGCAAATGACTTGTCTGTCTTGTCTGTAGCTGAGTGGAGCTTACCTTAAGACAATCACTTTGAACATAGGCCCTGGCAATCCCTTGATGATGGCCGAAGCATTGAGGTGGCACCGTCCCTGTAGTACCACACCGTTTACCTGCAACAGTGACACCATTGGTTACCCTAGCACCAAACAGCTAGTCCCCAGGGAGGGAGATATGCCATGGGAGAAGACCATCATATATCACCATTACATTCCTTTAGATGGGAGGCTATATGGCATGCAAACTTCAGAGGGGGGTTTACCCAGATATAAGTGGCTATGACATGAAGCTGTATATCTTCAGGGTGAGGCCCTTCAGTAAGCAACATCTACTTTAAAAACTTTATTATGGCAGATGTAGGCCTCCTTGGGTGGGTGGTGAGGTGCTCCCAAGGCTGCACCTGCACAGAAAACTTGGGACAAACACACATACCCCAAATGCAAATTGAACTTAGGACACCAGTTTAGGTACCAAAGTTTCAGACAAATTACTATGATTACACTGAAGGAGGCAGAGGGTTCCTCTGAAATGTTGATACATATCTACCAGGCTACAAGGCGTCACATCCCAGAACACTGTAATCTTAACTAAATAACTACTCTCCATCATTTCTAAGGGTGGGTGTGTCCCACCGCGGCCACGGGGCATGCAAGCGAAGTGGAAATAACAGCTGCAAACGTTCTTGGCCTCGGTATTAAACGGAGGTTAGTGGTAGCTTCGCGCTCCGAGCAGTCCCCCAGAGTCCCCAGGAAATGCAAAAAGTGAGGACTTGTTGCTAGAAATCAAATCCCGGTCATGCAGTACCTGTCATTTTACCGGATGACGGTGCTTCGGGTTCCGTAACCGGAAATTTTATGACCATCTACCGTCATCACTACTTCACCCAGCACATCTCCTGTGTCTGAGAGTTCTGTAAACATAACCTCGTGCGTTGGCGCCACTAACATGTTCCTATTTATTTCTTTAAAGCCCATTACTCTGTGTTGTTGAAGGAAATGGTCATCTGGATCATCTAGATGAACTACAGCGCCGCATAGCGGAGATAACTGGAACTTATCGAAACGCAGCTAATAAATCCAAAGTACAGTAGACCACAATAGTTCTGTAATTTGCAATCTCGTCACGCCTTAACGATTTTGAAAGCAACTGGAAAATTGCCACTACTCAGGAAGCCGACATTAATTATACATACAATAATGGGTCACTTGGCAACTTGGCCTCCGTCCAAGGAGACAGGTTGTGAGAGACAAGTAGAGCAGATGACTGCTGTGATGCGAAACTGATATGTTACTATAAAGCAACATCTGCTTTAATTTACAAAGAAGAAGAAAAAAACTCTTCATTATGCGCGCAGTGTACCTGTATTTATGCTATCGCATGATTCTCACAATAAACAGCCTTTGTTTATCTCAAGTGGGGGCATTTCTGACCTGTAACACAGAAGTGTCCGGTTTGAATCTCGACTAGGCTACCGACGATCCTGACAAGCATTCGCAGTTTTACTCAGCCACTCCAGGCAACTGTTGGGATAGTACCTTAAATTAGGCCACGACACCAGTCCTCAGTGTCATACCCGACTCATTATTTACTAATCACCGTATCATTCAGCGCGGCAAATTATGAGCTAATTACAGCGTAGTTAAACTACAAATAAATACAAATACATGATATCACAAAAGGCAGAGAAGGGAGAACGCGAGGCCCACTCCAGCAGACACATGCTGCCTAAACAATGAAACGAATTGGATGGTTGGGCTATGTAAGTGCAGAAACAGCAGGATAACTCGGTCCGCATACTGGCGACGTTATGGGCTGAACGACCGATGGTTCAAGTTTCGATTCTCGGCAATGGCAAGAGACACCTTTCTTCTTCACGGCGTCCACACCGGCTCCGGTGTTCATCCAGTGCCTTATCCAATGGGTACCGGGAGCTCTTCCCCCGGGGTTAAGCAGCCGGGGCGTGAACATCACCGTCCACTCACTTCCATCTTCTGCAGAGGGCAAGAATGTGTAGAGCTATACCTCCACTCCCTCATACGTCTTCATGGGGTGGTGTTCAATTAGGTACAGCGAAAACCTTACCACCTTGCATTAAGATGGTCTCAAAGAGACAGGGTGTAAGGATACTGGCTGGATTCGTCTGGCTCAGGACAGGGACTAGTGAACACGGTAATGAACCATCGCATTTCGTAAAGGGCGGGGAATTCTTTCATCAAGTGTCCAACCAACAACTTGCAAAGACGAACTCCACTCCATGGAGCCTAAAACAATACGGCGTGGGGTCAACAATGATGAATCCGTTAAAATGCGGTTTCGGTACTTGGCAGGACGCAGCGAGAAAAACCACGACAGAACTCGAGCTGGCCTGAGTTCTTTAGTCTCGCTTTCCTCCCGCCCGCGATGCCCGATCGATTAGGGTGCCATCTCCGCTTCTGCTGCCCTCTGTTAGGAAACTTGGCTAGCCTGGTTTTACTCTGTCCCTCCATCGCTTAACCATTTAACGCACAGCCGTATACATACCATCCGCTTTAGCATGTTGGCCCACATTACACTGTTTCGTATGATTCTCAAAATAAACGGAGTTTATTTTCCTAAACAGCATTAACCGGTTGGTGTTTACAGTGGAAACTCGGTGACTTTTCAAAAAGTTACGCGGGTCTTCACTGAGTTACGGCGGTGTGATCACATTAATATCAAAATAGGCCTCAATGGAGCACACAAAAAAGCGTCTTCGTTATATAGACAAACTTGTGGATGTTCTTTACGGGAAGAATACTTATTTATTCCGAGAATCACGTTAACGTGTGGGCATACGGGAGAGTTTATAATTTTAAAGCAGCTAGTACATATGGTTAGGACTGCCTCTGTGAACTGCTCTGTGCCGACAGGAAAGGCCTGGAAGCGTGCCACTGTTTCGCTAACGGGATCCCGTTATCACTTCTCCTCCACTTAGCGCGCATCAAGCAGACGTGCATTTACGTGGGAGGGGTGTACAAAACAGCACTGCGTCTAACTATAGCAAGAGACCTGCACAACTTAACTTCCGGTACAACTGCAGAGTCAGAGTTACTTTGCGACTGGCGGTTTACCGTCAATCAGTTTGTCTTGGCGCCAAGCCCCTTGAGGTTCACGACCAGAGATTTTTTTTTGCAACTGAATCCTTGCGGTTACAGGTCCTTATGAAGCATCCTCTCTGAGGAGAGGATGCGTTTGTTTCTTATGAATGGGTTTCGCCTGTGCCAAGTGTACGCATGGCACATATAGCACAGGTCTACGTGGTTATGGGGAATGCCTTTCCTTCCCGAGTACTACTGCACCCCATATGGAAGCAGTATTTGAACGGGTCAAATTCTTTGGTTGCTAAATTTTGTGGTGGTGGTGCCTCAGAAGGATGAAGAGAATCAGTTCAATGTCTACCTACCTACCGACCTACCTATCTATTCCTGTTACTCCTACTTTGAGCATAGGACATCCGTGCAACTCTTCGTTTCACTTCAGTTTCTTAATCTTAGTCAATCGGTAGAACTCCTTGGACGGGGGATCAGCCCGATGCAAGGACGCTACCTACACAGGCCAACACAAACACAGCATAAAGGCAGACAAGCATCCATGCCTTGAGTGGGATTCGAACCCGCGATCCCAACGTTCGAGCAGGTGAAGACATTTCATGCTTAAGACCGCGCGGCCTCCTTGATCGGCCCAGGTCAATGCAATAACACGAAATTCTAAGTGCGCCGGCACACTGGCAGTAGTACAGCATGCAAAGGTAAAAGTTGCTGTAACGGTGTGGCAAAGCTATCCCTGTAACAGACCGTGGAGGTCCACAGGGGTGTGAGAATCGGTTCACAGACGGCGGTAAGGTTGTCAGCCTTACGCGACGGCCCCTTTTACCCCCCCCCCNNCCCCCCGGAAGATTCCTGGTACTCATTTCTGTTAGAGGCTGAGTCGACTCCAGGGCCATAGTGCGGCTGGAAGGATTAGGTAAACTGAAAAAAATCCAACCTCATCAGGATTCGAACCCGCGCCCTTCCGTCCTGTAGCATAGTGCCTCAATAAACTACGCTACCGCGCGCTCCGATCATGAAGCCGTGAAGGGAACCCGTACCAAGGAATACTCGAGACATGTAAAGTGAGTGTAAAGTTGGCCCATGTGGCCCTCGGCCCTCGACGAAGCATACGCTGTTCGCAGCTCCACGTTACTTGAGGTCCATCTGCTCTCGGGACCGTGGAACGCCATACATTACGGAGCCAACCCTACGGAAGGGAAGTTCGGTGTATGTATGTTTGCATTTCCCACCGGAGCATGAATTCGCAAGTACGTTGGAAATATAATTTTGTTTCCTAATGACAACGTAACGGTGTGCGTCACAAACGACGCCGTACCCTTGTTACCATAGCAGACGTAGTACGCAATCTCTGAGATGCGTGTGAGAACGCTGCAAGTAGCGGGTAGTGGTTGCACCTATATTGTGGGAGGGAGGGTGCCGCACTGTAACTTAGCCCCCGGTCATAAACACACACACACACACACACAGTAATCCTTACTGCAAGAAGTGGACGCGACAAAATCACTGCAAACTCCGTTCGCGGTGGCCAGCTCAATAACAACAAATAAATAAAAAACAAGGCCAGTACTTTGAATATGCGCACAACCTCAGCTCGTTAGTCCATTTTGACGGCGGCAAGGTCATATAACAAAAAGAACGAGCGAACATAACCTCGAGGTGTCATTTAATATCTACACTTCGTTTACGCTTGACGTCTGTTTCTTGTCTTGGAGCAGGCAATGCGTCGTACGGAAGCGGGGGTGGGAGGGGGGAATACCAGGAACTTGAACATCGCTCATTAGTCAATTCGTGACTTCCGAGAAATCGCTGACTTTTTTGCAAATACAGTAAAACTTGGTTATAGCAACATCGGTTTCTGCGACACCTTGTCTATTGCGTCAAATATTCAATGGTACGAACTAATTCCTCATAAAGCAACTGTTTTTATACCTTGCTTAGTACGACATGCACAAATGCATCAAGCTCGTATGTAACGTCATTTTCATTCCTGAATCTCTGATTATGGACATTGAACGTAATTTAGAAAGTGTAGGCCTACCTTTAAT